GGGGGGGGGGGGGGGGGGGGGGGGGGGGGGGGGCTTTTCTTCCGTCAAAATTTCACGTTAGCTCGCCAATTGTTCATTTGTCAGTTCTCTTCACATTTCTGCGACGGCCCCCGTCCCTAATATTCAGAGTAAATGAATTCACGTGCCCGACTCCGCTGTTCTTTTGATACCAAAAATTCAGAACGCATGAATACTTTATTCCCGAAAATCGCCGAAATGGAGCCCTCAGAAAATATTTTGGGGGTGTTCATACCTAATATATCTATAACTTAAGTGGAATTAATTTCTTGGGTACCGTATTTACCTTCAGAAAATAGTTTCATCACTTCATCGACCTCCTGTTTGTTAATTTTTGACTGTGTAAGCAATTGATTTTCCAATTTTTCGCATAATGTGCCATTGAATTTTCTTTATGGTTGTTACTTGTTTTTGAAGCTTGAATAAACCTTTCTCACGATTTTGTAACAATGTTTTCTCAGTACCGCTGTTGAAATAATTACCTAAATCACGATTTTTCGTTTTCGTTCTCAACCCCTAGGATCTTTTTCTCTAAGCTGTTTTGCTGTATCTGAAAATAGTGCATGGAAGCAAAATCCGCTTTCTGTTCTTTTCCGTTATATTCGTGTAATGTAGATAACTCGTTTATACTGTGCTACTATTTCCCGCTAATCTCTTGTTTTTCAGGATCCTTCGTAATCGTTTATCGTACGCAGCTGGGGCTTTGTTTTTTGCAACTGGCCGTACATTTTTTCTTTTCCGTTGCAGTATATCGCAAAATGTAAGTTTTTGAAGCTCTCATCGTTATTATTGTTGATTCTCACCTGTTTTCTTACAGATTCCAATTTGGTCACTTTACGGTGCTGTGAGGGGTGACAGCCAATTGGCCAGCGCCGAGGCGTGACGAGATACAGATCCTGGCATCTCCAGACATATCGCTGCTGCATTTTGTCGAGCTGAGCTTGAGCACTGCTTGCTACTGTTGGTCTAATTCGCGATTGGTAATGTAGTAAAAATTATACAGCTGTGCACGTAGGGCGCACACTACCCGGGATAGCATGGAGAATAGTACGAAGTGAGACAGCAGAAATGAATTCTAGTAATATTTGCACCTTCGGAACTACGCTACGGCAACTTATCAGCAGCTGGAGGGCGAGGAGATGCTAAAATTCCGTTACGGAACGGTTTGATCCTCTTAATATTAACCCGTGAATATAATTCGCTCTGGTGAGTTACAGCACAAAACTTTTCTCCCCGGAAATCGATGGGATGCCAAGTAACGCATTCATTGTGCGTGAAGCACAGCAAAGAACCGAACACATTGTAACCCGGTAAAGATAAAAGAACGGTTTTGTTTGACACTAGAGAAGGAAGCTCAGGAAGAAATGCTGGGAGGCTGAAATTTTAAGGGGACGTTCCCCGTTTATGTAGATATTAATGTGCCCAAACCAGCCCTCGAGTAAGCGTGGTACTTACGCATGGACCTGTGAAATTTTTCTGTTGGAAAAGCCAAGCTTATCGTCAGTAGGGAATGATTCCCACGAATTATGTAATTTTCAATCACGGTATATTCATTCTAAGGTTAGACTGAAAAAAAACCCCTCAAAATCATATAAATTTGATTGCAGCATGGTCAGCTGTGACGTCCTTGAGGAATTTTTTTTTCTGAGTTGGATCGATCCTTACTGCCCACATATACCGTTCTATAAGTAATTTCAGTACAAAATTTGGGCAAAGAAGAAAAGAGAGGGAAGGTGCGTTGGTAGTTCCAGGAATTGGCACGAAAAGCGACAGAGATAATGCGTTGGCAGTGATGACGGAGACGAACAAGCCTTTTATCGAGCCTAGTTTTGGACTCGTTTTGCCAAAAACATTAAACTAGACAACCGAGCCACTGTATTTGTCGACACTTAGGATTGTTTCTGTAGTGTCACTGTTCAGTATGGGAAGCGGCCGTGGCATTATATTGACAACGAAATTTGTTTTTCCATCAGTTTAGCAACCTCTAAAAGATGAAGCGTACATACATCGACGAAATGGCAAACACTGCTGAAGACGTGCAATTTAAGAACGAACGGCCTGATACTACAGGAATAACTTATTTTATTAGTTTAAAAAGTCAAAAACATTCATTTTCAGTGAGAAGCTGTAGCACACGGGAAATAGCCTCAGTGGTAGCAAATATCAGCGACCATCTGTTAACAAAGCTGTCGATGATTCCTTCTTTCGAGGGTTACTTCCAAGCAAGCTGATGGCGGATTTGACTTCCTGGCAAATGCCAGTACCAATATACCATCGAAACGAATGAACGAATCGCAGAGGGATGATTGTTTCACCAACAGAGTTGAACCTTCAACTTACTGCACGACAATACTGCACCAAACTACCTCACTACTTCGTTAATTAAGCTGTAGGGAAAGTTTTTTCAGAGTTAGCGATTATGTTTTTTTTTTTTTTTAACGTGCTTCATGAATTCGGCTTCAGTTCTGTAGCCACCATCATTCATGTGATTGCCTCTGACGTTTTTCGTGAATTTTATTGGAAGAATGGCTTCACCATTTTTTACGCGATTTCTCGTGAACATAAAAAGGCGCACTACGATGAGACCACTGGTCTGCTTTGCAGTCATAGAAACGAAGACTTTAGTGCATTGTTCCCATCCATAGGCACGGTTACAAATTCAGATCGAATTATTAGGCCTGGTACTTCACTCAGAATTTCATCGTATTCGAATTCTGGCTGACCCACGATTCTGAAACGATTGAGCTGCAAACTGGAAAATTTTATGATATTAGTTATACTAGCTGTGTAGGTCCACAGGTCAAAATTTAATGAGATCCGGTTGTGGCACTTGCAGGAAATGTATACGTCTTTGTAGACCGAAACATTTCTTCCCAGCTTGTAAAAAGTCTTCTATTTTCATATTTTTGCAACCCTTTTCTATGTATTCTTTAGTTATAAATTTAATCGAAAAAACAGAGAGATTTAAATATAATATAAAATTATATTTAAGTGTCTCTGTTTTCTCGATTTCTTAGTCTGGTAGTTTTGAACGGGGTAAGCCATGAATTCTTTGTTTTGCTAGTTTAAAATCACCATTTGTTAGAAAAGCATGACGCGACCCAGTACTACAGTGACTTGAAAATCACGTGGAACACAGCCATACTTCGCATGCGTTGGCACATACGCAACAGCTCTTCTTAAAATCGCTTGATCACAGCTGCTAGTGCACGTGTTGCTCCTCACAGTGCACCCAGGATTTCAACAGAGAAGCGCAGTAGTCCTAGCAGAATGTGTTTTCGAGAAGTGGGTACTGAAAGCTGCAAATTATACAAATTTCATGGTTTGGATTGTTTTTTATGCGTCCTGTGCTGCAACAGTTGCACAAAACGCATACTGTCGAGACCCTTTGTGTGTGTGTGTGTATGTGTGTATGTGTGTGTATGTGTGTATGTGTGTGTATGTGTGTATGTGTGTGTGTATGTGTGTGTGTATGTGTGTGTGTATGTGTGTTTGTGTGTGTGCTTTTCGAGTGCGTTTTATCCGGTAGTTTCAACTCGGGAACTGAAGAAGCTAAGCTGGGATTTAAAGGGAAACTCCTTATCCGCGTGTGATCTCGCAAACTAAAATTCAGCGTTCACGCACGCCTAATATTCAGTGCGGTCACGCGAAAGCTTTGGTGCCCGAATTAACTCGAGAAGCACAGGGAAAAGCTGAAGTTTTAGGAGAATGATGTCCCTTGTCCACGTGTGACCTCGTAAAATTAAATTCAGCCTTTACTTGCGCCTAAATCTCAAATACGGACGCGTTTTAGTGCGAAATTTATTAACTCGAGAACCAAAAAAGCTAGGAAGCTGAAATTTTAGGAGAATGTCCCTTGCGCGCGTATTACCCAACAGATTGAAATTCAGTTTTCCTGCATGCTTAGATCTCACATTGGGACATGTGAAATTGGGCCCCAAAATTAATAATTCAAA